ACAATAATGATCCCTGTATCTTCTGCCTACCCTGTGCAATGACCCCAAAAATGTATCGCTCCCGACTGCCTCAGGAAGCCTGCTCACCTCCCTCAGCCACTGTGCTGCTGTTTATTCCTGCTCACCTACATGGGAGGGGTCTGACATCCCTCCTGAAAAGAGCTTCAGGACACCCTAAGAACAAGAGAAGCTACATCTCATGCCCAGAGAGACCCTCCCCACTACCCACCAAGCCCACACCCTCACGGCCAAAACCAGCCAGAGCCCTGCAGCTCTCACCTCTCCATAAACAGTGGCAGCTGCTCTTGAAACACCTCATGGGTGGCCTGGACATCACGGGCACAGTATGACATCAGGTCCTGGGGACAGCAGCAGGTGAGAGCAGGCAAAGCAGCCACCCTTCTGCCAGCACAGGGCACAGCATCAGGGCTGCAGGAGCACAGAGCAGGTCACAGCCCCATGCACACCCAGTGCTGCAAGAAAGGGCAGCAAAACGGAAACTACCCCAGCAGCTACTACCACCCTACTCCCTTCTGCAGTTCTTGCTGCCTGTCAGGATGGTGGGATGGCCTCCTGCACCTGGAAGTTACTCCTGACGTCAGCCATGGTGCCCTTCAGAAACAGCTCCCGTGCCTCCTTCTCCAGCGGCTCCCCCCCGACGTACAGCGCGTGCACATCGGCCAGGTTGTTGATGCTGCTGACGTGCACCCAGTCCCACGAGGTGATCTGTGGACAACAGGGGGGTCAGACAGTGTGGGAGAACAGCCAGCTGCAGCCAAGATCAGGAGGAGTAAAGGATGCTGCTGCTCCAGCTCAAACCAAGGCCACCTTATCTGAAATGGGCTGGGAGAGCTTCACTCAGTGGAGCTGCTCCAACAGCTCCCACTGTGCCAGTACAGGAGCAAACAGCCCTGTCACAGGAGCACCCAGAGCACTGCCTGCAGCTCAGCTCCCTCACTCACCGCTGGCCCCTCTGCCTTGCTGCGCATTTTCTTCATGTGCTCCTTGACCTGCTGCAGCCCCTTCCTCTTGCCGTGCTTGGCAGCCATCCAGAGGCTGCGCTGGAAGCCCGTCAGCCCTGAGATGGCCATGTGCATGCTCATGGTGTCCAGGAAACGCATCTTGGAGCCCTGGGACACAACACAGTGTGAGAAAAGAGAGGGTTTGGGGTATGCTGGAGGAGTTGTAAGTTCTCTGCTCAAGCTGCTTTTGCTAGGGGAAACTTTCCCTCCAACACTCCCTTTTTGAAAGCCAAAACCATCCCCAATGCAGGCTGTCAGCTGCTCCAAGGCTCCTGCCACATCCCCAGCTGCCACCCTGCAGCCTCCAGCAGCCCCATAGGGTGCAAGAATATATTCCCTAACCCTAACCCTAACCCTAACCCTAACCCTAACCCTAACCCTAACCCAACCCTAACCTCTTCCTCTAAAGGGATCCAGCCTCAACCTGTTCTGCAGGACAAAGCAAGCACAAACCTGGGGTATCT